AAAAGCAGAAAAAATGTTATGACTGAATACTATAGTTCCTTTCTCCTGTAATCACCAGGCCCAATTATTATTAACAAATATGTCTGATTACTCTTATATATGTTTAATATCTTGTTGCCCAGAAACAAGACATTGAATCGAAATCATTCCCTTCATTCACTAACGCCCCAGATATTGCATTACTGGCATAAGGAATACAAACAATTAATAAGCAAGACAAGGATTTTGGGTTATATCTCTGAGAGGGGAAGTAATGACACCCCAGATGATTTATTTACTGCATTCATGCAATCACAAATGCCCAGTGAATGTTGATTTCATATTGAGGACGATAGCATAATGCATCAGGCATGAAATGCACGAACATTTCTTTAGAGCTGCTTAGCTGAAGTTTATCACGATCATTCAGCTATTGCCTAGCAACCTGTGAAGGCTATCAAAGAGCTCTTTGTCCTCAGTGCTGGCAAAAACAGTCCCTCACAGATCTCCTTATCAGAATTAGAACATTTATCAGGAAAAAATGCTTCTATTGAACCAGAGATTGCTACAAATTTAAAGCTACCGTTTTTCCCATTTCCCCCTTCCAAATATTTTAGGAAGTTTTCTTCTGGTGTAACTAGTATTAGAGGTTTTATCTGTTCTTTGGTAAATATTCTGAAGGAATTTCCTGAAGATGTCTCATCATTCTTCTATTCTCTATAATCTGGGCTAATGTTAAAAAAACACAGACCTGAGTTCCTGAAAGTATATATTCTCAAAAATACGTAAGGCAGTCATTTCCACCCCCTTTGCTGGGAAGGGTCACTATTTTAGGTACACAAACTATGAATATATTGGGCTTACTGGTTTGAAGAAAGACTTCTTCAGGGAAGCAAAAGATGACATAGTTTCTCCATCCAGTTAGATAGTGGTCCTGAATGTCATGTAAGAAAGAGGAAAATTGTGCTTATTGGTTCATTCAATAGATATTGGTTTAACAACGTCCATTTACCAGCCACCGTGGTGAGCAAAAACGGGCACCATCTCTCCCTCATGTTGCTGCCAGAATAAATTAATTACCTTGGGTGGGCCGTGGAATGGGGGGAATCCTTCATCTGCATTTTCTCCTATATCTCTCCAGAATTAGTCTTCTCTTGCATCCCAACTGCCATGGATTTAGTTTAAAGCCTTGGAACCCATTTTTATCATTTTTCACCTGGGGAACCCAAAAAACCACCTGAGGGTCTTCTTTCTTCCAGGCTCACCATCTTCAAACCACCTTCTGCCATCTTATAATACACAAATTTAGTTATGCCCCCTCCTTCTTAAAAATTGTTTGTTTGATTCCTCCAAGAGGAGGTTTACACTCCACAGCATGGTTTTGTTGGCTCTTGATGTGGCCACAGCCTGGCTGCCCAGATGCCTCACCCGCTTTTCCCACCCCTGAGTTTCAGCTGTACTCAACACTTGCAGTTCCTGAAGGACGGATACATACGTGTTTGGGCCTCTGAGCCTTGCACTCTCTGTTCCTTCAGCCTGGACCCCTTTTCCGTCTTCACAAACTACCTCCTTCCCCGATCATGATCCCCAACTCTGCCTGGAACAGTCTATTCCGGGGCCATTACCACCCTGGAATTTCCTTTCTGAGAGAAGTTCTCCCCAACAAGTCAGCAGCCAGCCAGAACCCATGAATGTTTTTTTAGGTTATATTTTTCTGTCTTTGACAAACAAGGAAACAAAAAGATGTCTTGTAGGACTCTAGTAAATTTGGCAAAGAATAAGATAAGATCAATAGAAATAATTAAGGAATAACGCAGATACACATATATGCACAGCCAGAAAAAGATGGTCGAAGTGAACTTAGAATTCTTATCCTGGCAAATAAGTTTTACTGCAGAGTCGTCCTTGCATGGAGGTCACATCAACAGCCATACACCTAGTGTGACTTAGAGAAGCACTTATCCAGTACTCCCTCCATGATTCTCACTGCCTGAAATTCCACAATTAGATATTTATTTCTTTGGCTCTTAAAATATGTGCTCTCTTAAAATACTAATAGTCTCCGGAGAAGGTACACCTCAGTAAAAACAAATTTATCTTGTCCTTTCCTGACTATAAGATAGAGGGAACGATAACAGGCGGGCACAGAGGGTCTGACGGGGAGGAGTTGCAGTAAGAGAAAAGGGTGCAGCAAGAGGAAAAAAAGACAGTCTCATACTTCTCCTTGGAGTTGCCCCCTGAGTGAGATGCACTTGATATTTGTCTTCAAATAGACAGGCATTAATATTTGCAAAATGACAGCTCGTTTTTACTGATGATAGGGTAAAAGAAAAGAGCTTGAATCTTTAAGAGAAGTTGGTAATAGAATTTTTCTAATTTACATTCAAAGGAAAGATCTCTTTGTAGTTCTAAAATAAAAACTATTGAAAAGCTTGGTTCTGTTAAAATATGCTTATTGATTGGAGACAGAAAGCCTGATAGATGATCTGTAGAATTCCTTATGATTCTCTGAAAATAAAATGATGAGTAAATCATTTGAAACAAGCTTACCTTTGCAATCTCTTTGCTATATCATAGGCCTTATTACTTATATAAAAATGACCTCAATAAAGTTGATTATGACTGATGGTTATGCTAACTGGATGGACAGACCTCTTAAGGGAAGAGGAATCAGATATAAAATAAAGGATCACTTTATTCAGATTTGCCAATCTGACCTGTAATCATTTTTCTTAACATGCTCTGAGAATGTGCTAAGCTATACATAAATCACATAACCTATAATGAAAAGAAAGCAGCACACACTTTTGACCTAAAGTGTACTCCATTCCATATTAATTGAATTTATTAAATATAAAGTGAAGTAGTGATTTGGCAAATAGCTGATAAACTGAATCACCATAAATGGCTAAATCTTACCCCCTCCCCCGACACCCCCACCCTACAAAAAATTGTCAACAATCAAGACTAATTTTCAGGATGATTATCAGATTAACTCAGCTTCCACTTCTTCAGAATCCTCACTGGGATCTGCCTGGATGGCTCCAGACCAAAATGCCCAGGTTGTCTGAATCTCTATGAAGCAGGTGTCCCCAATTTGGCTGCTGTTCACAATCAGAACTTAGGACCTGAATATGAATTGGGAGTGAAGCCTGTCGCAGGTTACCCTTGTCGAAACTTTCTTGAAATTCATAAGGAAGTTTAGGTGTGCAGCCTCCTTTTGAAGTGGTCACTGCTCATTATGTTTGGTTTTTCTGCCTAGTGGAGGTGTGAGTAAAAATACCAGATAAGACCGGCTGGTGTAACACATTTAGGGAGGGTAGAGTTTGCAATTCCATCTCAGTTTTTCAGAAGGGATTAGAAAAAAAAAAGGTAATGTATTTATGAACACAAGAAAAAAAGATAACATAGTAGGCCCAAATTTCATATTTTGTTCTGTGGGGACCATTTAAGCCCCAATTAGCATTATAAACAGACCTGTTTCCTCAGCCAGCAATCCAAGCTGGAATAAAAGTCTATTGTTGGTTTAAGCTAGACACAATGAAGTCTGCGTGCTTTCATGCCTACTTAACAGCCTTTCCTATGTGGGAGACTTTCAGAAGGAGAAAAATAGGAACAGTAAAAAATGGAGAATTACTGTTCATCAGAAATGGCTGCGTATCAATTAGCACCATCCATGTTACAGTTTGAGGCTGCTTCTGTGTTAAGGGTAAGGCTGTGGTGACTTTTCTTCTAATCATTTTAGAAATAAAAACCAATACAGAACATGGCCTTCCCAGCATCCATGTGCTTGTGGTTGTTAGTGCCCTGGAATCCTGGAGGGTGTGCGTGCTTGTTCTTACTGTGTTTTCACTTGGTCTGAGGCCAGCAGTCGCCAGTTCACTGCTAATTACAACTCATTGCTTTTCAATGCAAAGAGTGTTTTTTTGAGTAGTGAAGAATTCTGACTTACAAGAAAGAGGCCCTGTATTTCAAATACAATTTTACAAAAGTCTTCATTTACCTCAAATAAAACCTGGTTTTATTTTTATTTTTGCAACATTTTAAAAAATGTTTCCTTTAGGCATTGTTTATTCATTCATGACTGATTCTAAAGTTTCCCTATTTCCAAAATGAGAGCAAAACAACTATGTACAGTTTTATAATAATTGATAGCTTTGACAGTAGCTATAAATACTATCAATTGGTGATATTCTGCCTTTATCTGTCCAGTGTCAGATTAAATTTTTAAAGAGGAACTTGGTGGCACCTATTTCCAAAATGAGAGCAAAACAACTATGTACAGTTTTATAATAATTGATAGCTTTGACGGTAGCTATAAATACTATCAATTGGTGATATTCTGCCTTTATCTGTCCAGTGTCAGATTAAATTTTTAAAGAGGAACTTGGTGGCCCATGTTAGTGCATCTTCTGTTCTGTACAGTGTGTCATCAAAATATTTTAAGATTGTGTTCATTTACTCCAGGGGCAGGTTTTCCTTTTGTACAAGAATTTAACCACTTTGTGCTTTGCTTTATCATTTTACACTTTGTTCATTTGTCTGTGGAAACAAAGAATGGGGGGAAGGAGGAGGTCACTGAGAACTAAAGGATTTTTGATCAATTTTGCCTTCAACAGACAGAGCCCTCAGGCTTCCCCTGTGCTCTGTCCTTCTAAAGAAGAAAAATCAATATAACAAAAGTGTTTTATCCCCTCTTCATGACTCCACAGAAAATAGTACTGGGCATTATTTTAATGCTGGGATGATACTGTGTATTGGTGTATACAAGATGATAACTGGATTTTGAACCGTCTCTCATCTCTGCTCATCTCTGCCCATGGTGCTTGGTTGCAGTACTGTGAGCTTAGTCCTCATAATGCTGGGATGATACTGTGTATTGGTGTATACAAGATGATAACTGGATTTTGAACCGTCTATCATCTCTGCTCATCTCTGCCCATGGTGCTTGGTTGCAGTACTGTGAGCTTAGTCCTCATCTTTTAACCAGCATCCACAGAAGCCCCCACACTGCCCCTCACTCAGCCTGGCCCCATGTGCATTGTTTCAGGTGTCCACTGTGACAGCGTGTGTGCTGAGGGACGCTGGGGCCCCAACTGCTCCCTGCCCTGCTACTGTAAAAATGGGGCTTCATGCTCCCCCGATGACGGCATCTGTGAGTGTGCACCGGGATTCCGAGGCACCACTTGTCAGAGAAGTAAGTACCTCATTAGGCAGTAATTTCCGTCCTCCCTTCCCTGGGCACCATGTACGGAATAATGATCTCCATTCACCCCTCAGTTTATACTGATGTTCTGTTTTAGGTGTGGGCAGAGTAGAATGTGATAGTCACTTGTCCTTTGCAGAACTATCCTCAGTAGCCCTTCTGCAAGAACTTTATTCTTTCCAAACCTTCAGGACTAACCCAACAGATGGAGCTTTACCTATTTCTTCTCAGTAATGATTTCACTGCCTCATTGGCACCATCATCAAGATATGTTTCTTGATTCTTCCTTAAAGCTTGCAAATGGTGTTCCAGAAATCCATTGACCTGTAAATATTTCATTCAGCAATTTGGCATTGGCCTAACTTCAATTACCAGAAGTCAACATCAGCCAAACCTTGAGGCAAATCACACATCCTGCCAGTAGTCTTATAGTCAGTGCTGTGGGGAAAATAGAATTGCAGAGTTAAAAACGGGGACTGTTGACACTGGGCAGTAGGATTTTTGAGTAAAGAAATGATCCATAAGATTTAACTAAAGTTTTTAGTAAATGTAATCAAGAAAGAATATATGATAAATTATAAGATGCACTACCTTAATTTTTAAAATTATCTTTTTTCCCCCCATTAAGAACTCTATACTGTCATCCTATATTTAAATCAAGTAATGTCTTGGGAAGAACCTAAGTAGGTAGCATTTTGCTTATTCACTTTTCAATCACAATCATTAACTTGGACCATTTTGAGGAGGAAATATCTTCTGATTTTGACTGTAGCTCTATTTATTGCCAGTAGTGACTCTTAAAGAATAAAGGAACAAAAAATTACTTAAGAGTACTTATTTGGGACTTTTTAGTATTTAGAATTTTATTTTCTTCATTCTTTTATTATTTCAACAAAAAAATTCTTTGAGCCCCTGCTTTATGCCAAGCCTTGAGCTAATTGGGGTCTTACATGGGAAAGTAAAGAGAACTAAGACATTTGCTTGCCCTCAAAGAATTCAGAGTTCAGAGGCGTCTTCTTATTATTAAAGAGTGCTCTTGTTCCTTCTGTCACTCCTGTTTTATACTTAGAAAATTCTCAGCATCATTTTTGAAAGTTTTTTTCCTTTCCTCCAAAACTTTAACTAGATCCTGATGTGGAATATAAGAGAAACGCATCTCAGAAAGATAACCGTCAATTTCCATTCTATTTTCAGTCTGCTCCCCTGGTTTTTATGGGCACCGCTGCAGCCAGACTTGCCCACAGTGTGTTCACAGCAGTGGACCCTGCCACCATGTCACGGGCCTTTGCGACTGCTTGCCTGGCTTCACAGGCGCCCTCTGCAATGAAGGTAAGGCACACAGCATTTTGGAGAGATCTAAACCCCTCAGAGTCTGTCCTTAGACTTCCTGAAGGACATGTTCTCAGCTATCAACTATCCATGCCTTCTGGGATGCTGTGTCTGCAGCTTCTGCAAATATGACTTTGAGCTTTACAAAAGCTGGCTTGCCACTCCAGCAAAATCTCTTTATTCTCTGAGGTGTGCTACTCCTCAGTTTTAATTGGAAACATTCTCCCGTGAAAAATCAACATGAGGAAGAATTTTGACTCCCTGAGCAAGAAGCCATGAGGTCAGATTTCTAGAAATATGATGATGTCTCCTTGTTTGTGATGCCTTAATGAGAGTCTTTAGCTTCACGTATTTGTGGAAATGAGCTCATTCAAGATGAGGGGTGCTGTTGAGCAGAGGCACCTACCGAATGGGCAGCTGGGTTGGTGATCTTTAAAGTCCTTTCCTGTTCTGGTAGGTTGGGTTTCTGTGAGATGAGTTGTGATTGTGAGTTACTGACCTACAGCTTATTCACAGTGTGTCCCAGTGGCAGATTTGGGAAAAATTGTGCAGGAATTTGTACCTGCACCAACAATGGAACCTGTAACCCCATTGACAGATCCTGTCAGTGTTACCCGGGTTGGATTGGCAGTGACTGCTCTCAACGTAAGTCTTGTTTGAGAACAACTGATCAGCCATTCTTATTTGTTTCTTTTCAAATTCTTTAGAATTGACATATGAGTGTTTATATAATCAAGAAAGAATATATGACTAATTATAAGATGCATTCTGGTTTTTAAATTCCTTTTTTGTCCACTAAGAGCTCTACACAGTGGTTCTATATTTAAATCCAAATAATGTCTTGAGAAGAACTTAAATATGGAACCATTTGCCGATTCACTTTTTAATGATCTATCATTCATTGAATTAAAACACAAATAGGTGTATTTAGAAATCTGTCTCTTCATTTTGTGTTTATCTGGAGAGTTAATTATGAAGAAATGAAGAAATAGAACGTAAATGATGGGTACCTCTGAAACCTATTGGGGTCCTGAGCAGACTGCCCACCTAACCAGCTCCTGTGCAAATTCCACCTCGGCTTCACTCCAGTGCTTTCCACACCACTGTATTTCAGACAAAAATGGTGTGACCCTATGAGGGACTACACAGATGATTTGTAGATTAGCCATGTCATGAAAAGACATTTACCTTTAGTCCTTGTTTGGTGCTTTGAGTCAGTGCAACTTCTAAAAGTATTCAACTTTTGACCAAGAAATAGCATATGTATTGGGGTAATCTGGTTCTATTCATTATAAATTTCATGGCACATACTCAGTTTGTATTGAAACCACCCATCATGCACATAAGAGAAATCAAAGAATGACTGTGTAGGGATTTTATGTGGTGGTTTATTGGCCATGTAATTTAGACTTCACAGTTGTAATTAACCTGCAAATATTAATTGATGAGCAATATATTTTTGCCTAGAGATTTTTTTCTGAGTGTTACTTCTTTTTAATTGAGCACTTCAGGCTGTTCCCCATTTCTGAGGAATAAGGAAGCAGAGCCAATAGATCTTACAAATGTAGCTCTTTGGTGAAAGAAGTATTATTGGATATAATTCCTTGTGTGTGTTTTACTCTATTTGGGGGGCATCATTCAGAAGTAAACAAAGTCTGTTAAAATTTACATATGTTGCAAGGGCTCTGACTGCCTCAGGTTGACATATGGACAGATTGAGAAATAGACACTGAAAGGCATCTATTGTTAGTGTTTAGGAAGAAAAAAACCCAATATCATTGTGACAAAATGATTGGTATACTTTGCTCCTTTTTAAACTACTCTTTATTTTGGAAGTTGGTCACTTTCTCATTTGGAGGGGGAATGTTCTGGAAGGAACAAAAATGGGAACCATTATGAGCGGAGACTATAGTGTTGCCTGCCCTCATAACACTCCAGAGGAAGCTGATTTATTTGGCAAAAGGCTTTGCTTCTCTTGGGGATCATTGATTTCATTGATTCCCTTGTGGCCTCTGTGGAGCCATCTTCATATTTCTTCTTTGCTGATTGTCAGCCTGCCTGGAAAGAGAAAAGTCCTTCACAGTGAAAACAGAGACACCGAAAAATTAAAGGGGTGCATTTAAACGGGCAGATGTCCTTGGTGAATGATTTTTTAAAGCCTTAACCTAAGCCTCTTTTGAGTCAAATCACGTTCCCCATCTGATCTTTGCTCAAATGTCCCCTCCTCAGAGAGGCCTTCCTTAACCGAGTAGCACCCATCGTTCTTGTTCTCCTTACCCCGTCTTATTTTTTTCTATAGCACTTGCCCCTTTGTTTCTGCCATCAGTTGGTTGGTTGGTCTGCCTTCCCCACTAACATATAAGCTTCCAGAAGGTGGATTGGAATTTGTCTTGTCCTTCGCTATCTCCCCTGTGCTTAGAACAATGTTGGGCGCATAGCAGGTATTGAATGAATCTGTGAACTTGAGATGATTTTTGCTCCACCCACCTCCCTCTGCAGTTGTAAATGAATGTATGTGTCAGTAATGATAGTCGTGGTTGCGATCAGCAGTGTCATCTGGGTTTTAGTGGAGAATTCGGAGCGGTGCACTTTCTTAGTCCTCATGTGCCACTGCCACCTCTCACATGTAAGGAAAAGTGTCGGGGTGAATGGAATTCTCTCTGCCTGGTGCTGGCCTCAGAACTCTCACAGACCTCTCCACGCTTGTTGTGATTTCAGCATGTCCACCTGCCCACTGGGGCCCGAACTGCATCCACACGTGCAACTGCCACAACGGGGCCTTCTGCAGTGCCTATGATGGGGAATGTAAATGCACTCCTGGCTGGACGGGGCTCTACTGCACTCAGAGTAAGCAATGAGCTTCTGAAGCTCACCACGGGGAGCCTCACCTGAGGAGGAAAGTGCCTTACCCTTTGCACACACGACCTGAGCTCACCGAGTGTCCCCGGCATTGGAATGCCTCGTGTGCCCCATGACCTCTAGACAGCTAAATATCTCTAAGTGGTTAAGAGCTGCCACATTCCAAGTACTCTGTCTCTAGGCATACTGAGGTGGAGCAGTGCTGTGTGATGGTATGCAGTTTCTTTCTTTTCTCTCCTTTAACCAGACCTTACTTGTGTGGATCAAATTCTCTATCATTTATTCTAACGGCGCAAGGTTTGTATAAATGAATGGAGATTAGAAAGGTAGTAAAAGCAAGCCTCACTGCCTCACGTAGCGTGTATTCTTGGAGAAGATGGAGTCAGTCGTTCTCAAACTTCAGCGAGCTTCAGAATCCCTTAGGGGGAGGGCCCGATAAACACAGAATGCCAGTCCCACCCCCAATGTGTCTGCAGATGGGCACCTGAGAATTTGCATTTCTACCAACTGGTGGTAATGCCAGCCTGGGACCATGCTTTGAGCACTGCTGCTCTAGTTCTTTTTTCCATTTTGTATCCATAGTGTCCTAATCATTTTTTCTTCCATGAGGCTTTTAGCATCCTGGGATAGAATGAGCAAAATATGTCATAGCTGAACATCACTGGGAAAGAAAGATTATTCTCTGCCCTCTTGCCTTCAATTGAATAAAGGAAACAAGAGAGGAAGGCGTGTATTATGGTTAGTATTAATCATAACATAAAATTTAAAATCAGAGCAATGAGCTGAGGAAGAAGATAGGTCAGAAATCAGGTAATTCTTGTTTAATGCTAACTAGAGAACATAATTAGAGAGTAGTCTGAACAAGTTTTGGGGAGCATTCTAGAAGGGAGTGTAGACTTCAAACCAAGATTTGAAAAGGAGAATTGTCAAAGAAGGAGGCTGTCCCAAGCATATCCTGCAGACGTTGTGTATCTATAAAGATTTTTTAACTCCCTAGAGAAAAGTACTTATAAGATATTACTTGTAATTCTAAAATTAGCATCTGCTTCAAACATTAGGGCCTTGTTTTTATGAGGAAGTAACATGAGGTTGTGGGAACAATGAGGGATCTGGAGCAGGCTGGCCTGCTTTTGTATCATAGCCCCCCATCCTGCCATTTGCTATCAGTGTGACTTAGGGCACTTGGGGCTTAGTCCCGCCTACAGAATGGAATATCCATCTCTGCATTTCTGGGCTGCTGTAAAGATTAAATGAGAGAATGCCTGAGAAGAATCTGGCAGAGAGTTGGTGCTAAGTAAATACATGACACTGCATGTTGTCATCACGTCTGGCATCTGTGCACTGCCTCTACTTCTTGATCTTTGGGCTTTCATTAAACCTCACCATAAGAAAAAGAGAAAATAAACAGCGCATGTAGTGTTTGGGAATAACCATTGAATCAGCCTGGAGTGAAGCATTCCTTATTCCAGAGGGCTCTCACACATGCTTGCGAGGCAGCTGCTGGCCCAGGAAAGCCAATAGAGCTCAGGCGTGTCTTCAGCCCAAGGGTCCCAGCGGTCCAAGCCTGGAAATTGTGCAGCAGTGAGGAGGCTTATTGCTTTTTACAAAGCACCTGTGAAGTACAGGGGGTTTTTTTAATTGTTTTTTTTTAGGTTAAGCATTCTACTACACATCTTTGATTAAGGTGGTAATATTATCTATTAATGGATACAGTGGACAAGGCTTATGGCAGAATTAGAGACATTGTATACTACAAGTAAAAACATACAGATAATTTTACTATAGAGTACTCATTTCAGTCTATGGAATGTGTTCCAGGATTGTACTAGTCAAGTAAAACAATGAAAGGAAATACCCCCTTCCTCCATGGGGTTGAAGGGGTGCTTTGTTAGATGACACTAGTCTTGCCTCCAGGGGTACCATTAATGGCTACACTGGCAGGTATAGAACTCATCTGCCTCCTTCTTATGAATTACAACCTCCTGGCAAGAGCCCTGTCTTGGGACTTCTGACAAGCTGAGATATGCACTGTCTTTATTCTCTAACGGCTCGGCATCCTTCAAGTTTAAATACAGATATGTTGGACGCATGAGCAGTATTTCTCCTTAGAAGCCTCTTGACTCCCGCTGTCCTTCCTCCTGGTACAGGATGTCCCCTGGGGTTTTATGGAAAGGACTGCGCATTGATTTGCCAGTGTCAGAATGGAGCGGACTGTGACCACATCTCTGGGCAGTGCACCTGCCGCACCGGATTCATGGGGAGGCACTGTGAACAGAGTGAGTACGAGGGCACGACGTCGCCAGGTGGTGTTTTATTCTCTGGAATCTATTTTCCTAGATGTCTGAAAATATGAAGGCAGAATTTGCCGTTTTTAAGTTGTTCGAGCTGACGGCTGGTTGCTCACCAGCACGGTCGTCTTCCCTTCGCAGAGACCTGCCTCCCTGGGATCCTTGCTGGCTGTTGTTCCCTCAAAATGCTGCATCTGAGTAACTCCTCTGCACTCTGGGTGGAGGGGGTGTGACTACAGAATGAAGACAGAATTCAAGTTTTCCATTCTGCTCTTTCTGGCTCTCCCTTCCTCTCCTTCTTATTTTTGGAACGTAGCTGCTCAGAGCTTTAAAAGAGCCAGCTGAACTTTCTTCAGGGCAGAGGTGGAACCTGGGCTCACAACAGGCAGTGTATTAGGTGGGGAGGACAGCTGGGGGCCCAGGGCCAGCACCAGCTGCTGGCAAGGGAACAAGTCATGCAAACATTGCCACTCTGTTGGCGACCTTCTCCAGAAAGTCCTTCTATACTGTTTTCACAAACAACTTTCATATTGCCTTACATTTTTTTTTTGGAAAAATACCACTTGGAGAGAATATACTCTGTTGGAACTGCCCATCCTTGTTTTTCCATTTCCACCTCACCAGCTATGCATCTGCTCACAGTGTTGTAAGAACATTAGTATTAAGCTGAGTTTTTCAGATTAGGTTATCATTCCTTTCCTCTGTGACTGTCACTCAGGATTCAAGCTGGGGCTGACTCTCTCTTAGGAAAAGCCTTCGAGGCAGGAAAAGGTACAGGACAATTCCTGCTCACCAGAGGGTGTGCTCCAGGGCAGGTGGCAGCAAAGATTACCTGGCTGTGGGGGCATTGTGGCCTGGGAAGGCTGATGAGTGTGGCAGTACTTAGGCAATAAAGCACCCTCCCCTTCCACTCTGCCAGCACCTCACAGCACCACTGGGTAGTCAGGTTGTCTCAATCTTAGGTGCTAAACCCTGGGATATCTTTGCATATCCTCCCTCTAGCAAATGCAGCAAAAGTGACATCCAAGAACCTCCTCAAGACAGAAACATTCCAATTTTAGCTTTGGATTGCTGTTACATTTCATCATGAAACAGATACTGAGTCACAAAGTTGCATACACGACCCCCTGTGTATATAAATATTGTGTGTATGTATATAAATGTCTAAACATATGCATAAAATCTAGAATAGACTCTAAACTGACTTTCACGTGAATGCCAGCAGACTGGTTAAGGTCATTAGTAAATAAAAACCTCTTAAGTGTTTCCGTGATTACTCTGAATATCCAATTAAAATGTCCCTATTTCCGAAGACATCTTTCAAAGCCCCAGGTTTGACAGAGAACTCAGATAATAATAGCACATTGCCCCCTGCTGCTCACTTTACAAAAAACATCAGTGTTTTGTCCTGAAGATTTTTAGATTTAGAATGCCTATGCTATTTTTTGAAATTCATACCCAAATCTTATTAAGACTGCATCATAAGAATCCTAGTATTTTAGTTTCTGAGACTTGCACCTGCAAATCCAAAGTTTAAACAATTCTGTGGCAAATGAAGTTCTTACCTAGAAAATAAACAAAACTTGCCCTCTCCCTCTTTTCGTACCCACAGCTAATCCAAGTGAAAATGTTTGTTTAGGAAGATCCCTGAGCCTAGAGTAAAGTATATATGTCCTCAAGGAAGCATCTCTAGTACATAACTTTCAGTCTTGTTTCCTTCCACCCCGCAATTTTGCTCAGTGGAGTCATCTCAAATTGCCCTTAGTGATTATCTTCATCTGTTCCATGGGGGTTCCACAGACTCCCTATAGACTTATCAGAGTGGTGGGTATATAGCAGCTGAAAGTGTCAGGAGTTGCAGTGTTGAGCAGCTTAGTCTCTGGCCCTGTGCATCCTGGACTGTGAGTCCCACCATGATTCAGGCAATGCTGTCCAGCTCTGGGACACCCTTGGTGGTACAAGTCTGCCTGAACAGGAGTCCCCTAAAAGGGCTCACCTCCAGATGTGCAGGGGCATACAGTAAGAGACAATCTTGTCCAGATTCCCAAGGCTGGGAAGCTGCATTTGACTTTATCTCTTTCTCCAGAGTGCCCCGCAGGAACATATGGCTATGGCTGCCGCCAGCTATGTGACTGTCTGAACAACTCCACCTGCGACCACATCACTGGGACCTGTTACTGTAGCCCAGGATGGAAGGGGGCACGATGTGATCAAGGTAAAGACACTAGTAAATACTAACTACTACGTCTTGTTGTGTGACCACCATGTACCAGCCAACGGTAAGTATTTTTACTTATACTATCTACTGCAACCTTCTTCACAGCTCTGCAACCACAGCTGGTTACTTATTTAGTTACCAGATGGATGCCTTATTGTTGCTGTCCTACAGATAAAGACACAAAAGCTTAGGGAATTTGAATAATTTTCCCAAAGTCACAGGGCCAATATACAGAATATGTCACAGCTTTGATGCCAGGTTTTTCTTACTCAAAGCTCATGAATTTTCTACTGAGCCTATGAGTTTTCAGCTTTGTCGAAGTATAGTTAACATACACAAAAACCACATATATTTAAAGTATAAAATCTGAAATATGTACACACTCATGAAACCATCACCATAACACAGTATCTGTCACCCTGTAAGTGTCCTCATACTCCTCCCTGCCACTGTCACCCCTTACGCTTCAGGCAATCACTGATCTACTTTTGGTCAGTATACATTAGTTTGCATTTTCTAGAATTTTATATACATGGAATCAGGCTGTACTCTTTTTTTTTTTTCATCTGGTTTTGTTCACTCAGTATAATTATTTTGAAATTGAACCATGTTGTTGTATATATCAATAGTTCATTTCTTTTGATTGCTGAGTAGTATTCCATTGCATGGATCTACCATAGTTTGTTTACCCATTCATGTATTGTTTCTAGTTTGGGGCTGTTATTACAGGTAAAGCTACTATGAACAGTAATGCATTAAGTCTCTGTATGTGCATGTGCTTTCATTTCTCTTGGGTATATATCTAGGAGTAGAATGATTGGGTCACATGGTAGGCATTTTTTAGCTTTTTAAGAATCTTGTGCTTATGGTTTTTAATTAGGGTGAGTGTCATGATCACCTGGGAGTATTTGCCATATACATAGTCCCACTTGGGCAATTCTGATTCTGGGGTGGTGGGGCCTTTGAGAAAGTGCTTCTGATGGTTCTGAAGCATGTGCTCCAGAGAGCCTCCTCTCTACTGCATGCAGTGCTCTCTGGTAGGCAATGAATAGATGGGCTATAAAAGGTTCTAGGAAATTCAGAATGTTGTAGGTGGTGTCATCATAAACTGCAGATCATGTTTTAACAGCATTTAACTTCTTTTGTAAAATAACTTTTACATGCTCATATTTACATACGAGTGTCATAACAATAAGATATTGTATTTCCTGATCACATCACTGTCACAAATACATTTCAATCTCACTACACGGGCCTTTGTGTCCTGTGTTTCAGGGAAGACTGTTTTATAAGAAGGTCCTTTAGCATTTAGAATGAGAATCATAGGAATATTTATTTGAGCTGGAAGGATAACAATAAGATATTGTATTTCCTGATCACATCACTGTCACAAATACATTTCAATCTCACTTCACGGGCCTTTGTGTCCTGTGTTTCAGGGAAGACTGTTTTATAAGAAGGTCCTTTAGCATTTAGAATCACAGAATCATAGGAATATTTATTTGAGCTGGAAGGAGCTACATGGGGGCCAGTTTCCTCATTCACAGTTGAGGAAACTGCAGCCTAAAAGCTTAGGGGAAAGTTCATATTATCTGGGTCAATTTTTTTAGATGTCAGATTTCTTGACTCTCAGTCCATACCTTTCGAGTCCTCACCTGATGGATCCCAGGAAGAACTATGAAAAGCTGAATGTTGAGTTTGAATAAGGTTTTAGGGTGATGTTATTAGGCATTATCAGGGCAAATTTTTTTGTCATGGAAAATAACTTTGCACAGAACAATAGCTTCTGAGCGAGGTAAAAGACCTTTTGAAATTAGATAAGGCAGTTCCAGTTCTTGGATTAGATTTATATTGAAGTTACACTTGCTTGGAAGGAAAATTACTTTTAGAAATGGTAAGTATAGACATAAGATTAAATTAGGCTGTTGGGACATTTAGGATTTAACCCTGCATAAGCTCAATACTGGATAATAAATAAAGAAAAATAAAAATTAGATTAATTATTACCCCAAATTAATCACGAATCTACGTGTTTAATCTAAAATATATGAGAAGCTCCCAAACCCTACTGTTGAATCTTTGGGTTTAGGAAATTCTGTCTCTTTTTGAGGCTTAGAACAGCCTTTCTCTGAGCACAGACAAGCCAACAACATCTGAAAATGAGGAATGTTTGTTTTTCCTTCCTGCTCTGTTTCTAGAAGTCTCCACATTAACATTTCATGAACTGAAGATATCCAGGCATTAGCACAAGGGGAGATTTTTTGTAAACAGAGATCAGACATTTTTTCAGCACATTGTCATCCTTACTCAAGTCTTTTTTCTCCTTTTCCTAGCTGGTGTTATAATAGTTGGAAATCTGAACAGCTTAAGCCGAACCAGTACTGCTCTCCCTGCTGATTCCTACCAGATCGGGGCCATTGCAGGCATCATCATTCTTGTCCTAGTTGTCCTCTTCCTACTGGTGTTGTTCATTATTTATAGACACAAGCAGAAGGGGAAGGAATCAAGCATGCCTGCAGTTACCTACACCCCTGCTATGAGGGTCATCAGTGCAGATTATACCATTTCAGGTAAGGCTGCTGTCGTGAGAGGCATTTTACTCCTTAGGAAGTTAGGTTTCATCCTGGTTCTATGAAACCAGGTGTTTGGCTGTGCAGTGCATTGTTTTTGTCAGTTCTTCTTGAGGGAATTGTATGTTTGGAAAAGCTATAGATTGTTAGAGATGTGTTTTATATCTCAACAGTAGCAAAATCATCACTGGGTTGCTTTCTATGAGGGTTTTTTATGTGGGCTCATTGTGTGGTTGCTTCAGATTTAGGGCATTTCAATCCAGAAGAAGCTTTGCTGGGCACCTAGTTCCAAGTTTTTGTCATATGTAGAGGGGTGGGGAGGGAAGGAGGAGGTGATTGTAAGTTTACCAAGTTCATGGAGCAGATCAAAGAGGTAGACCAGGGCTTCTGTTTCTGGCCTTGGGTGCTTTCTGTGGTTCCTTCCAGCCTCTGCCTGGGCCCACACAAATCATTGGTTGAAGAGAACCAAGTTGTAGGAACAGATTTTTGGTATGAATAAGAACCAAGGCAATCCTTTAAGAGAGCTCTTTTGAATCTTCCTTTCTGTCAATAGTCCCCATAAAAATAAATAAAACTTATAAACATCAGTCATCAAAAGAAGTAACCACTTACACTGAGGAGCTTGAAAACTTAAAATCTTTATTAATTTGGGGGCAATTACTGAAGGATTTCAGGTTGGTCAAATACCTCTGTATTTGGTTCTGGGAATATGTAAAGTAGCTGATTTACATAGTAGTGCATTTTCGGTGCAGAATTATTGTGTTAAGAACTCTAGTGTTTAAAAAAAAGAGGAAATTTGCTGCAGAAGTAGCTTCAGATGATTCCTTTCTATCTTGTACAAGCTCTAAAGTGAAGAGCAGTTGTCTGTGGATACTTTTGTACTTTTCCAAGAAGGCAGGTAGGAAGGCAGATGCCTCCTGCTTCTAGAAGCTCTGCTGAGCAGACTGGGCAGGAGGGATTCTGCCCAGCCTGTGATAGGGATACAGTCCAAATATTTGTTCTGTTGTTTTGTTCCCTTTTCCCCATGCAGATTGAGGGGAGCCTTTCATCTTAACCATTTCCTTCTCTTCCTGCAGAAACCCTCCCTCACAGCAGTGGTGCAAATGCTAACAGCCATTACTTCACCAATCCCAGTTACCACACACTCACCCAGTGTGCCACATCCCCTCACATCAACAACAGGGACAGGATGCCCATCGCCAAGGTGAGAGGAAACAGCTCACATCTTTGAAGGTGGTCAGGGAGAGAGGACAGAGAGCAACAAGCATTTATTGAGGGCTGCTGTTTGCCAGGTGCTGTTCTAGGTACTTTACATATGTTATCTAACTTATCTGTCTAAGCAGTCCTCTGCGTATGTCATAGGATCTCAAGTTCACTGACAAAAACCTGAGTAACGGGGAGTGTCACTTCCAAACATAGCTGCCCAGATAGTGCATGAAGTCCCCTTGTCTCTACAGTCTATACTGTTTCAATTAAACCTCCTTGGAAAAATGTTTCTAACGTTACATGAGATTTTAAAATACTGGCTCATAATGATATTAATGAAAACATAAAGACCTATAGCAGAACCGCTTTTTCTGAGCCTCTATCTTCTGTAAACTTTCTTGGCCACTGTGCTTTAATTTAGTAACAGCAACACTAATATGCATTTATTTGGGTTGAACCACATGAAATTGTTATTTTTGTAGGTCAAAAATGGCCAAATAGCAACAACTTAGTACTATGTACCAAGCATTTTTAATCACTTTACAAATATAAATTCACTTAATTTTTACACCAGTCCTATGCATCAGGAGTGATTAGTATCCCCATTTTACAGATGAGGAAACTGCTGCACAGAGAGGTTGGAGACCCTGAGCTACTCCTCTAGGTCTTTCCACAATGCTCTGAAATCCAAAACATTTTTCTCTTCCAGATGTGTCCAAATTATGTTTCCAATCTCATTGTCTAATTCCAGCTCTCTGTTAGGAAAAAAACAAGCTAATTAAATTAGTTCAGTTGTAATTAAATTAATGAATCTAGATTTTAATTACAGTGCCTTGCAGTTAAATAGCACTTCACACTCCCCAGAGACTTTCATATTCATCATCCCATTTGTTCTCATACAAATTCAGGGAGGGAGGCAAAGCAGATCATCTTATCTTCATGTTTATGCCTAGGAAAGCTGCTGAGAGTCACTTGTGACTCATGCATGATCATACAGTTTTTGATGGGAGAGCTTAGAATTCAATTCATCATCCCATTTGTTCTCATACAAATTCAGGGAGGGAGGCAAAGCAGATCATCTTATCCTCATGTTTATGCCTAGGAAAGCTGCTGAGAGTCACTTGTGACTCATGCATGATCATACAGTTTTTGATGGGAGAGCTTAGAATTCATTTTTTTTACAGTTCAAAGTTCCATGTATATAAATCCAAATGTGTTCTAATCTGCACAGGGTGACAGAAGTGAACTTGAGGTAGCAGAGGGGGAATAGCTAGGGCTGAGTGACATATACTCCTGTTGCCCTTCTTGTCCCAGCAGGGCAGAAGTGGTCACCTTGGCCCCCCCACCCCCCACCCCAGCTCAGCGTCATTTGAGGACCAGCCCTTGATATGTGCCGTGGGCTGGCTTTTCCTCAGATCAGGACCACTGTGCCGTGCATATTGTATTCTCTTTTAAAATCTCTTATTGTACATATTTTTTATAGTCAAAAAACAATCAGCTGTTTGTGAATCTTAAAAATGTGAATCCTGGGAAGAGAGGCCCAGTAGTGGACTGCACAGGGACGCTGCCAGCAGACTGGAAACACGGTGGCTACCTCAACGAGCTTGGTGAGTGCTCCCAGCTCCCAGTCAGCAAGCACCTGTGCCAAAGTGATCTCCTGAAAGCATGCATCAAACACCAAACTAGCAGATTTGTACATGACACCTACATAGAGCTTACTACCGTCCTAAGTGCTTTACTTACCCAACAAACATTTTTTGAATTCCTGCTATGTGACAGGAATTGATAGAAAGAGACATTTAACAAGACATTCTATAGTTTGGAAAAGGCCAAAGGAATTTGGCAAAGATAGGCAGCTCGTTGGTAAGGTTGTTCTCAGAGCCCACAGGCTCTGCTCCATCTTCATGGGATCTCTTTACAAAGTCCAGGAGTCCCCAAGACCATCCTCACTTCTGACACCAACTGCAAGTTCAAGGGTCACCAAGACCACCCTTAGCATCAATTATCTGCTAGAAGAACTCACAGAATTCATTGAGCAGTTACACTCATGGTTATTACAGCATAAGCATACAGATTAAACAGTTTATTACAGCAAAAGGATACAGATTAAAATCAGCCAAGGAGAGAGACATATGGGGCAGATTCAGGAATGTTCAAATCTTGACACTTCCAGTTGTCCTTCCCCAGTGGTGTCAAAGACAGTGCTAACTTTTCCTGACCACAGTGTGTGACCACCCACACAGAATATTGCCAAGCAGGGAAGCTCACTCAGCCTTGGTATCCAGAGTTTTGGGTGAGCTTGGTCACATAGACATGATTGGCTGCCCATGTGGCTGATCTTTAGTTTCCACCCCTCCAGAGGTTGAGCTGATACCACATGACCCAAATCCCCCACCATAAATCACTTTGTTAGACTATCTAATATGGCCCTAGGCCCCCAGGTAAACAAAAACACTCTTATCAGGCAGGACATTCCAGGGGCTTAGAGATCACCTCCCAGGAGCTGAGGGCAAAGGCCAGACCTCTCCTTGCTAAGGTTAATTCTTTACTACACACCCTTTTATCCTGTCTCCCTGTATAACTCTGTGTCTTTCCCACCAGCTGGGAACTTGGCTAGACTCCTCACCACCCAGAACCAGGAGAGAGTGCCTGGGAGAGTAAACCATTCCCACTTCCTGTTCCACCATGATTGATATTAGACACACCCTGTCCTGATGGGAAGACTTCCCTCTTTCTCCATTATAACTCTGTGTCTTTCCCACCAGCTGGGAACTTGGCTAGACTCCTCACCACCCAGAACCAAGAGAGAGTGCCTGGGAGAGTAAACCATTCCCACTTCCTGTTCCACCATGGTTGATATTAGACACACCCTGTCCTGATGGGAAGACTTCCCTCTTTCTCCACGGCAGTGCAGCCTTAGTCAGTGGCCCCCATAGGACAGTGCCATCAGAACTTGAGTTTAACATTACTCTAGGAGATTCGTGCACAATGCCAGGGGTATCATTTCCTTAACATTCTCAAACACATTCTAAATGTTCATCACGAGTCATTACTTTACTGTCTGCTTTTAACCTAAGTCCAAACATTCCTTTAAAAGATCATTGAAATTGCCTTGGAATGCTTACAGACAGACTGAAGCTGAGGGTAGTATGACACATTAAGTGTTACAGAGCACCATTCATTTATATGGTGCTTCAAAGTTTACAAAGCCTTTTCATAGGCTCTATTTCACCTAAGAATGACAACAACCCTGGAAGGCTGGAAGACAGGTTTTGTTTTCCCCATTTTACAGATGAGGAAATTGACATTCAGAGAGTTGAAAATCTTGCCCCAAATCATATGGCTAAGAAATGATGAAATCTAAGTTCTTTGTGACCTAATCTGTTGTTTTTTTCCTTCTTTGTCATATCACAGCTCATATAGAATCCTTGATTCCTATGCACTATTAATGCAATTTAGCATTTATACATCAGGTGGTATAAAATGGGCTCAGTAATGTCCTCTTATTTTCTTGGTAATATTATTAATATTAATTGTAATATTATTAAATAGTATTATTAATAATATTAATATTAATTATAATAATATTATTAATAATATTATTCACATCTATGATTAAATGCTTATATTTTATACAAGATGATTGTGACCTGATTGATTTCAACATGGTTGCATGTTTTCACTGCCTACATGCTTAATTTTTCCCAGTGTGAGCAGAAACACGCCTGTTCTCTCTACCTCCCCACTCCCCCAAAATAAGACCAGACATTTTAAAACAAGAAAGCCATTTATTTTGTCTACCTAGGCTCATACACAATTAGGCCCAATACCTGGAAAAGTCAAATTGTTAAAATTAAAGCTGAATAAAGATGGGTAAGATGTAGTATCAGCCTATAAAGTGTTAGTCAACCATATTTGAAGCTTGTAGTCTAAAAAAAACCCTGCTTATGGTGGAGGCAATAATATAAGTGAAGTGGTTTTTGGTAAAACAATTTGAAAACTATCAGAGCCTTGAAAGATCTGCACATAGAAGTGAATTCTTAGATCTGGACTTGGCTGTGTTCTGTCTTTCCACTGTGCAATCTTGAATCAAGTATACTGATTCATTTCTGTGCCTCAGTTTCCATCCTCTATTGCTCAGCCTTTCCCAAAGTCACTGTAAACAAGCAGGTGAAGAATCATCAGATGCGTGTGTGTGTTTAGTTCTAAGCACTGGAGACATCTGGCACAACTGATTTGGTGGAAAGGCTTGAAAAGCAGCAGCCTTGGTTATTTGCTGCAGTGGCGAGGAGTGAGGAGATCCTCATCCAGGACCCTAGAATATTAGATGGGTTTTCTGTGCCTTTCAGTTCTGACTGGGTGTTTTTTTCTTTCTTTATCACAGGTGCTTTTGGACTTGACAGAAGCTATATGGGAAAATCCTTAAAAGGTATAATATGAATTTGAGGAAGACATACATATATCAGAATTACAATTTTAAAAAAATTATCTCCAAAACAAATAATTTTTTAAACAAACTAAAGTGGCAGTGTAAAAAAATGTAGAATTGTTCGTGGGGTAAATTCCTACACCAAACACGCAAATATGTTTGACCAGCATCAAGAGAGTGAACTTAGGTGGGTCTTGTTAGAGCATAGGTCTTGGGGAACAAAGGGTTCAGTTTGCTAAGGAAACACTCATATTTCCTTGGAAAGAAATGACTTATAGGGAGAGAGAAATGCATAAAAGGAAATAGTGGGGAAAATGTTGACTGAGGTCTGCTGTTCAGGATGAGGTGAGGGATAAGGTACTCAGTGCAGAAGTTTTACAAGGAATCCTCACAGCACAAATGCCTTTCTCATCACCATAATAGAACCATCTTGCACTCCTGGGGTCAACATCTGGTTTCTTGATTGAAGCTTTGAAGCATTTAAAGGCCCCAATTAGTAAATTTCCTAATAGTAACATATGATGGAATTAATTATATTTAAATGCGATCATCAAAATGAAATCAGATACATGATATTTACACTGGCATGCAGCTCAGAGAGGAGTTAAAATTACTTTATAGATAATAATTTTATAGCAAATTCTCTCCCAAATAAATGGAAAATACATAGTATTATTTTCAGTATATATAATTATAGAAACCTCACGATAAAAAGAAATAAACTGTCCAAGTAAATTATCACCAAGAAATGATGTTGCCCAGGAGACAGTATGTGCTTTTTTCCTCCCATCTCTCTTCACAGACCTGACAAAGAATTCTGAGTATAATTCAAGCAACTGCTCCCTAAGCAGTTCTGAAAACCCATATGCCACTATTAAAGACCCACCTGTACTTATCCCTAAAAACTCAGAGTGTGGCTACGTGGAGATGAAGTCACCAGCACGAAGAGATTCCCCATATGCAGAGATCAATAACTCAGCTTCAGCCAACAAGAATGTCTATGAAGTCGGTGAGTTTTCCCAGTCATAGAAAGAACCTAATGCATAAGATTTTTTTTTTTGAAAGAACTTTAAATTATTTGGGAATATAATAGTTGTAGTTCATATAGATGTTACTGAAAATGATGGCACATGTTTTAGATGTAACCTGTGATTATAGTTATCATACTAACTGGTGTCAAGTGAATTTTTCAGGGAGAATACCATTTAGAAAATTTAAAGTAAGTTAAATTCCTCCACCTGGTCATCCATCTTTTGTTTTGTAACCATGGTGAATATTTTAGCACACATGTGGAATAGTGTATGTATAGTATTAGCTAATAACTGAGTTAGCCAAAACAAATGTTTCAAGTAGATTTAACAGGTGGTTCCATTTCCTGGTTGTATTCATTATACTAATATAATGCTTTTAGCAGGATTGGAACATTTTACTTTGATGTAAATCTGATACCAATTAATAATAATTCAATTAAAAATTAGAGTTATTTTGATTGCCCTTTGCGAATACCATTTGGGGAAAGATAAAACATACCAGAGCTACCACTGGCTAGACAGCTGGGCTATATATTTTAATTTTTCTGTCTCTCTTTCTTTCTTTATCTCTCTCTTAATATTTATTATTGCAACTTAAAAAATTGTCTACTATTTGTAAACGAAGTGAACACTAGTATTTCATTTTATGCTAGACATGTCTCTGAAAAAAATATATAAAACAATTTATTTTTAAAGTACTACTATAGCTTTTAAAATGGAAGCCATAGTGAACTAAATTTATTTTTGAAAAGTCAGTAACAATTCCTCCTTAAACTGTCCTGTAAGCCCGCCGCAGTAAGATGTGAACTCATACACATAGAGCGTATGTCTTGAGTCCTAAGTTTGCAAACTTGTTGAGTGTTTTTATGAATTGAGTTAACCTTTCAGGACCTCAGTCTTCTTACCTGTAGAGTAAGAAGTTGGGACTAGATTATCCTCAAGGTGTTTTTCAGACAGTAATTCATATCTAGGGTTTCTGTATATTCCTTTGATATCTTCATCCCAACACACGGTCATCCTTTTGTTCTGAACACCATTTGTGTGTGTCAGTTGGTCCAACAACCACAGTCATCACCTTTATGTGATTATAAAAGAATCATGTTTTTAAAACTAATATTTCCTTATATTTTTACAAAAGTTCCTCCTGTGTGTTTGATATTTGCAAGAAATGCCGTATTCTTTTTTTTTATAAACTATCCATTGCTGATAAATTAACGTGTCCCTGGTTATCACAGAACCTACAGTGAGTGTTGTCCAAGGAATATTCAGCAATAATGGGCATCTCACCCAGGATCCATACGACCTCCCAAAGAACAGTCACATCCCTTGCCATTACGACCTGCTGCCCGTCCGAGACAGTTCATCGTCCCCCAAGCGAGAGGATGGGGGCGGCAGCAGCAGCAGCAGCAGCAGCAGTAGCAGTGAATGACACCAAAGGAACACTGGGTAGCCACTGGAACCTTTCCAAAACTGCACTTCAGTTCTTCTCCATCCTCAAGTTTGCCTCCTTGTCTGAATGTTATCAACATGGCAGGCAACTGTTGGACATGAATCAGAAACTCAAAGCTGAGGCTGACACTGACTGTAGGTGCTTTCGTACAGGTGGCTTGGAAGGAGATAGCAACGTGATTTCCCGTTGCTGTTAGTTTTAAAACTGCATCCATGAAGCATGACTTATTGTGAAATCATGGCTAAAAAGCGTGAACTTGTAGAACTCCTTCAGGACATGGGTTGCTCTGGACATTGGTATCATGGCTCGAAAAGTTAAAATTTAAATATTTTCTTCCTCATTTACATCATAGAGCTGTACCTAGGATTGTGCAGTTTACCATGAAATTTACTTCATAAAAGTACTAAACATGTAGAAGGGGAATATTATTGAGTCCTTATTGCTTAATTTTTTTCAGCTGGACTCAGAATTGTAGAGATAATATGAATGCAGGCGGAAACACTCTTTCAGGTGGTATGACTGGATAGACTTTGAATAAACTCTAGAAGTGGGTAGCAAATTTAAATATGAAAACTTTAGCTTTTTTAGAATGAGGAAATGTACAATTAGAATTATTTTAGAAGTAGTAGGAATATCGCAGAAGTCAGTACACAAATGTGCCAGGCAGAGGTGGTTTCACTCCCTGTTTGACCCTTGGCCCACTTTAGATTCATGACATTGTGATCACTGTCCCCATCATACACATTCACCACTTGAGATTCATAACATATCTATAATTATTTCATAAATATAAAAATGAAATAATTTTATTTTTGACAGACTGGATTGAATGAGTGTGTAATGATTGATAAAGGTTGTAAATTTTAGGTGTAAGAAGATGCTTAAATTTTGTAAACCATTAGTATTACGTGCTGTAATATAGAATTAGCAGAAAGTTTTGATTAATTTTTTCCAAGGAATGACCGAGATATTTTTGTGCATATTTGGGAAAAGGGCACTTTCCTTTTATTAATTGTTGATTTACAGAAACTGTGCTTAAGCTGGTCTTTTGCATTGCTAATATGACATGTATCCCCATTTTTCATTCATTTGTATTTCCATTTTTAAGTTGTATATTCTATGTTTTGTAGTGTTTGGATTGTTAATGAAAAAATATTATATTATATGTTCATTGTTTCTTGAATTATTGCCATTCATCGTTTTGCTTGGTAAAAATGTTTTGTTTTGTTTATGGAGGGAGGAGAGGAAAATATATAATTTGAATCTATTAAAATTGGTCATTACTAAAAAATAGTCCAGTAACCATAGGTGAATGATTGAAATAGAGCAGTTTTTTAATATTTCAAAAGGGAGTTCCTTTTGATCTGTTGATTCCCTGAGTCTTGGTTCAACCAGGGGGAAGGGAGGAGGAAGGAAACCTTGTTACTGAGTACAGCAGACCCGTCTTAAAAAAGACCTTCATTAGGGTCTCTAAACTGGGACACTTTTGAGAGTAAATGAGGGCATTATTAGTAATTATCCTGCAATGGGCTTAAGTCTGGACTGTTCCAGGCAAACTGGAACCAATGCTTTTCCTTTGCATAATTATCATGCAATAACATTTTTCACTCTATGGAAGTTGTCTCATGAGAATGCCGATATGATGCAAGAAGGCCAGTTTCTCTTCCTTTGATCTACTTGAGCAAACTGAGGGACTGAGAGGCTGAATGAGGAAGGAACTTCGTAAGAGAAAATAGTGGTTTTCAGTCTTTCAAAGACATGAAACCCTATGTGGCATTGTCTCAGTGAGTCAATAGACAAATGTGTGTTGTGCACCCATTCTGCCAGTGGTGTACATAAAGCATTGTCCCCGACATTATCCAGTTGGATATCCAGTTATTTCATGTCACACACCAGCATTTGTGACAGTGGCTTGGTCAGGTGGATAATACAACAAACACACTTAGAACACTCATTCCTTTGATGGCTCTTTCTTTTAACGTGCCCCAAACTTAATTCCAGGAAATAAGAAATTGCCTGGAACACGCTTTAGAAACAATTGATTTATTCCAATAATTAACCACTGGCTAACTGTTGACTCCAGGGGACAGGCATCTAATTGAGAAACGTGTGGGTCAGTAGCCACAAAAAGTCCTTTCTGGCAAGAAGAAATAAAACATTTTTCTCCTCTTTATAAAGGATCATCTCTTCAGAGTTCCATGGTAAGTTTGAGCTTCCCCATTACTCTGGAGACAGGTCCAAAAACCACCTGTATCTTTTCTCATTCCATTATTTAAAAAAAATGAGAGCTTCATGTACAAGGGCAACAGCAACTTATGTAGAAAACCTGGGCAACAGATGTGAACTCCAAAGGGCCACTGCTGTCCCTTATGGTGTGTTCTTTCTGACAAATAAATTGCTCAGGCTACCTGATATCCTGAAACATTTGTACCTGAGGCAATTCTTCTTTACCAAAGTTCCCTCAGAACTTTTCAAATGTCAGAACACACATAGCCTTTTGGATATTGTAAAACTACATGTTGTGTTTGGAGAGATCTTGTTGAGAAGGCAAAATTTTCTAGATATTTTGATGTAGATTTAGGTAAAGGTAGACAACACGTTTGTCAGAATGAGAATGGAAAAAGAGGCAAAAGAACCCTGGCAAAATTTTCCCCCTGAAGTTACAGCCTTTAGGAACTTTTCCAGATATATCAAATATAATTCGACAGTGATGTCACTCTTTAAACAAAGTGAGTCTGTTCTTGTGATCTTTGAATCCATACTAATTTTGGACCCTAAGAATAATTTCTCCATTATGTCTTATAGTGACCAAAGTAGTGAATGAGTTTGGAGATAGCTAACAAAAGCCTTTCAACTAGGAATGCTAGCCAAACTATTATTTTTTCTCTAGAAGTTGATGTATCAGAAAATTTATAAATCATTTGTATTTATATATAAATATATCAAAACTTTCCCAAATGAAAACTCATACACTTGCTTTAATAAGGAGAATGTTATTTGCAGTTAATTATATGATAATCAGGAAAATTTTATAATTATTTACAGTGCTTGCCATTAATTCCTCTCCCATAATATAGCAGTGATGTTGGCACAGAGTTTAATGTGTTTAGCATTATCTTTATGGAACAACTTTATGAAAAGGTGGCCATCTTGACTCCAAAGAACCACAGCAGTCGTCAATTCTTGGGATTTTTAAACTGTAGATATTGCAAAAGTTGAACAAGGGTATCACAGTATTATGTATAATTTATGTCAATATTAGAAGCCCACTTTATTCTTAAAATAAGATAAAATCATAAAAAATTGAGTTTTAATTTTTTTTTAAATAATAAGTTTTATATCTCTGGGTAACATGTCTTTATTATCCAAAATAAATATTTAAATATTTTGGGTCAAGGGCTTTATGTCATGGAAATGTACATAGATATGCAAGTGTGAATCACCTGGTGTCAACGTGTGCTTGTTTATTAACTAAAGATACACAGCTAACTGCCCTTTTAGAGTTCTGTTTATTACTGTTATCCTAACACTGGGTCTGCTTATTCTAGTTCAGTGTTTAGTCTAGGCTTCATTTTGATATGATCAAATTGCAATGTGTATTTTTAAAAGGAAAACCATCAAAATACATCAGGATTTACTTGGTTGCAGCAAATAATAAATGCTTTCGGTGTTGAAATATCTCTATTTTCCAAAGATGATAAACTTACATCAGTATTTGCGTACATTGTCATCTATATCACCAAATGAGTTTATAGATTAATGCAATAAACTTTCTAATGAAAAACTTTAAAATAGTGCTTATTTCTATATCTGTTTATACTGTTGATTAATGAGAGGGAAAAACTTATAATCATATTAGGAAAATTAATATTTTTTTATGGGTGGCCCCATAGTACTTTACATATACATTTAGAAAACGATAACACTTTTATTATATTTAATTGCTTTTTATATTCTTTCACTTCAGACTACTTGTTCTTTAAAAATGGAGACAACATTTTATTCTTGTTTGGATCCCCGGAACCCAGGTTAGTGGTTGAGAGTCAGGTCTTCTGTAAACAGCTTTAGGTTATCTTTCGTGGATTTGCTTTCTAAATCACAGTGCTTATTAATGCTTTTATTTATAATTAAAATATTTTTGAAGCATTCACCATACAACACTATGTTCCAGGGATCAGATATGAATAAAACATCATTTCTTCTCTCAATAGCTTTTATTTACTGAGTGCCTGAGTGCCAGCACAGTTGGGGATGCAGAGAAAAACAAGGATACTTCAAAAAGTTTGTGGAATAATAGAATTAAAAGATAATATGAATTTTTCCATGAACTTTTTGGATTACCCTCATTCATATAAGAGCTATTTTTAAGTCGCTCATTATTTAGTTAGGGAAATAAAGCATCTTATTTACTGTGTGCCTTTGGTAAGTTACTTAACCTCTCAGTGTCTTCGTTTCTATATTGTAATATATTGGATATAATTATAACTATTTCATAGGGTTTTGTGAGGATTTGATAATTTTATACATACGAAACACTTACTTCAGTGCTTGGCACATAGTAGACACCTAGTAAATGTCAGCTAACATTACTATTATGAAAAATTAGCTAATAGTATGAGCCAGTTTGCAACAATCAGATGAGTGATAAGCCTGGTAAATCAGAAATGAGCATTTAATGAATATTATGAAAGCTATACATTTGTGTTACCATATCTTGACCTATTTTTGTACTGTCACAAAATTCCATACATATTGTATTTCTGGAGAAGTAATTTGGGAAAGCAATAATAATATGATTTTATTTTTCAGTAACATGTTGTCTTCTTAAGAATTAAGAATGCTTTTAAAACATTTTGGATGTCGGTTTCTGGGAAGATGGTGACCTGGCCTCACATTCCTATCCTGATAAATACAGTTACCTAGAAAAGTCAAGGGCTCATCTTGACAACTTGAAGAGGTTCCACACACAGTGAGACATCAAGTCTTGAAAGAAGGGGTGGGTGGGGGTTGAGATGTAAACGTGAGATGCTGGGAGTTGGTGGGGATGAGCCAGGGAGGGGCACATGGTGAGATCCAGATGACTTGGACAATGCTATGGGTCAAATATGTCCCCCAAAAGTTCATGTACTGGGGATCCCCTTACGGGCCAAAAGCCAAAAAATAAAAATATAAATATAAAGAGTTCATGTATTGGAAATTTGATCCCCATTGTAATGGTGATAAGAGGGTGGGAAATTCAGTTATGGTATTTGAAAGGTGGGGCCTTTAAGAGGTGTTTGGATCACAAGGACTGTGCCCTCGTGAATGGATTAATCCATGCATGAAGTAATGAGTTATCATGGGCGTGGTTGTGATGGCTTTATAAAGGAGAGTGAGTGAGAAGATTCACTTTCTTGCTCATGCCATCTCTCCCACCTGACACCCTGCTACCCTGTCAACAGTTCCCACCCAGAATGCCCTCACTAGATGTGCCTCCTGAACTGTGGAGTATGCAGCCTCCAAAACTATAAGAAATAAGTATCATTTCTTCACATTTCTAGCTTTGGATATTCCATTATAAGCAGCAGGAATGGACTAATACAGATGGGCACACAAAGAGAAGTATGGGAAGAATGTCTCACCTGTTTGCATTATGCAGCAATAAAAGAGGTGAAATGTCCCTTAGGTGATGACACCTCAGTAGGGGTGGTTTCTATGTTGGGCTGAGGTTGGCCTGTCTCTACTTGGACTTGTGAGCTGAGAAGCTTTCTGCCACTCACATTGTCAGATAGGCTAAGCTGGCCACCGCCTGCTCACGGAAGGAAAAATGCCTTTCCTGACTGTCAATATACAAGAAACAGAGAGCTCCACAGAGGTGTTGAAAACCAGCACACTGTCAACATGAATAGAAAGAGAAAGATCCCAAACCACTCAGTGGGAATATTGCAGCCCAGAGAGAAGGAAAAGAGACTAAACTGGGAAACTATAATAAGCCTCTATTATGGACGTGGAGCTAATGTAGAAAATGGAAGAAAAGCTAGATACAATACAATTAAAACTCTTAAAGGGATATAATTATAGGACCAGAGAGAGTTTCCTGGAGCTAAAAATAATGGTTTCCCAATTTTAAAATGTAGGAGAGAACTGTAAAAACAAAAATAGTATGTTATCTGCTGAGACTAAATTCATGTTTTAGAAGATGAA